TTCCCCCTAGACATATCTGCTATGTATGATAATCTATGTAACTGTATTTGTATTTTTGTATACCTGAATAAACTAACACCCCGTCAACTAACTACATAAAAACCACCTGGTGGTTCACACTTACACTCACTCACTCATTTGACTATTAGCACAGAAATACGTATCTTAATCTTAAAATAATAATTCCGAACTAGTCAAAAGTTTGCCTGTGATACTCCAATATAGAAACTATGTATTGTGCCAAAACAAAAGCATTCACATTGCTAAACTCACAAACTAGTATTTAGTCACTTAGTATTTAGTCAACTTACTCCATAATTTGTAATAATTTAGGGCTAAGAATTAATCTAAGTCTGCCCGAAATGTTTAGCCATGCTAGGTGTTCTAGTGGCCCCCTCTGTAATTAGTATTTTATAACATGTAAACCACACAATAACCAATATCTGTAAACCCCGCATTGCAACCCTTATAGAGAATAAACTTTGATTGATTTGATTTGAACTTAGTAAATGCACATAAAAAGAAGGTATAAGAAGAATTCAGAGGACTACAAACACAAAAAAAATAAAGGATTACCTTCACAATGTTTTAAATCTAATTTAGAAAAATAAGTAAATATAGACACAATGCAAACAGGTTGATTATATGAACATATTTTCGACTGAGATGTTTTAAATATTAATGTACATGTATCCCTTTGCAGCCGTGGCAGTTTTGTTGGTGTTGGCGAATGTTTTTATATTGTAACTTTTATCTTTCACTTACAAATGGCAGCGGAAAAGAGCTTGCCCGTTCAGTTATATGGGACATCATCACTGTGTTTTGATAAAGATGATTTCATGAAGGTGAATATCCAGATCAAGCAGTTAAGGAATTTTGGTTTATTTCTGGATGTCAGAAAAATGAGTCAATACGTGTTTATTATTAAGATAAGATAAGATTTCGTTCGGATTTTTAACCCCGGAGGGTTAGCCACCCAGGATAACCCAAGAAAGTCAGTGCGTCATCGAGGACTGTCTAACTTATTTCCATTGGGGTCCTTAATCTTGTCCCCCAGGATGCGACCCACACCAGTCGACTAACACCCAGGTACCTATTTGCTGCTAGGTGAACAGGACAACAGGTGTAAGGAAACGTGTCGAAATGTTTCCACCCACCGGGAATCGAACCCGGGCCCTCCGTGTGTGAAGCGGGAGCTTTAGACACCAGGCCACCAGGCCTGGAAGGAGAATCTCAGCTGCAATTTTGTCAGAACTGGCAGCCTCACCATGCCTTATTACACTGTGAATGCCACTACGCTTCTTAAATCTTTCAAATCAACCTTTGCTGGCCTTAAAATCAAAAGCATCACCACTTGCTGCAGGCATTTTCGTTATGAGATCGTCATGCAACTGCCTTGCCTTTTCACATATTATCGACTGTGTAACACTATCTCCTGTTAACTGTTTTTCGGTAATCCACACCAACAATAACCTCTCCATTTTTTCGAGGATTTGTGATCTCCTTTTTGTCAGCATATCTACCCCTTTTGCAACAACAGCACACTTTATTTCCTTTTCTTTCGCCACGATCGAAGTGATGGTTGAATGGGGTTTGCCATACATCCTGGCAAGCTCTGTAACACGCACTCCACTCTCGTATTTTTCAATGATTTCCTTCTTGAATTCGATCGTGTTCCTCACTTTCTTTACCAAAGGGCTTGCACTAGCTTTCCTTGGGCCCATGGTGACTTACTTAGCAGTTGCAATCGCAAAAAACAATGGATTATTACGTATGAACCCGCGGGGTGATGGTCACGTGTTGGTAAACAATGGCACACTGAGCGTGAATGGCATGAGAGACTGGCTTTGTGTGCGCGGTGACGGGCAGACGGGTACCGGGTGGTCGCTGAATCACGAGTCTAATCACGAACCACGAGGCCAAATTTTGCCGAAAAAACTTGCCGAAAGTCGGATTTCGTGAAAGCTGATGCTGCCGAAACTCGCGGGTCCACTGTACAAAGATGCATAACATATCCCTCCAAACTGGACATTGTACTTTGCATTTCCAGTACTCAAGTTTGGCTAAATCACTGGTTTCCCTGAATCCCTTCACTGAATACAGTATTACCCTGCTCACACTCCAGCAGCTTGTCAAGTCCCAAAAACCATATGTCTCCATTCACTCCTATCTAGCACGCTCATGCACTCTTGTTGGAAGTCCAAGCTCCTCGCCCAAGAAACCTCCTTTACCCCCTCCCTCCAACCTATAGAGGACGACCCCTACTTTGCCTTCCTTTTCCTACAGATTTATATGCTCTCCAAGCCATTCCACTTTGATCCATTCTCTCTAAATGACCAAACCACCTCAACAACCCCTCTTCAGCCCTCCGACTAATTCTTTTATTAACTCCTCACCTTCTCCTAATTTCCACACTCCGAATTCTCTGCATAATTTTTTTTTGTCTCCACAAATACCTCAACATGCCACTCACCTTTTTTCCTTCATCAATTCTGTGATTAACCTCATCCTTCATAAACCCCTCTGCTGTCACATCAACTTCCAAATATCTGAAAACATTCACATCTGCCACAGTCTCACTCTCTCTCCAATGTGATATCCAGTTTTTCTTTATCTAAATCGTTTGATACCCTCATCACCTTACTCTTATCTATGTTCACTTTCAAGTTTCTACCTTTACACACCCTCCAATATATACTTCATTAATTAATTGTGTGAGCGAAGATGCAAAGTACTGACGTGCTGGACATATAAGACATAGAAGCAGCATGGAACCTTTTTTAATGTAACAGAAGTATAGCTTTCGTCTCTTCCACCACTATTAAGAAACCTACCACTACCAAACAGGTTAACCAAGATATCAACAAAGCTAGCATCTTCACCATTCCCTGCTGTATGTGTAATAAATTCTTCCTTTAGGAAACTTCAAGAGACATCCATACATATGTAAAAGAGTACCAAATGTCTGTAGAACAAACAGCATTAATAACATTTGCATTATTCACTATGACATTCATATCCATTTAATAAAATGTCTGATGCTGAACTGGTCATCAAGAATGGGATAAACACACAGGGAAGTGTCTAGAAGTCTACTTTGATTGCTTCTGATACCATTTTCCAGAGCCGAGGCTCCATTCAATTAACTAAACCTTTGACACATTATTTACCCCACCAGAACCTGATGTATAGTGACCTGACATAGTGGCTCTGCCCCTTTGTTCTACTCATCTTCACTATGCCCACCCACCCACCAACCTGCCTATCTGCATTAACCCCTTCAGGGTCCAAGGCCAAAATCTGAAGTGGTGCTCCAGTGTCCAAGAAATTTTGAAAAAAAAAAAAAAAATATTTTTTCTAACAGAATTAAAGAGCATATTTTTGTGAAGGTAATAAGACAAAAAAAAAAATTCTGATCAGTACTTACCGAGATACAGTGCCAAGAAGTTTGTCGAAAATGATGTGGTGGCGGCAACATCGACGAATTCCACATACGCGCATTACATTATTTTGCGGTTTTTGTTGTTTTTTCTTTTCTTTTCCAATTTTTTTCTATTCCTACTAACATTTGGGGCCTGAGAGACCAATACTGTATATAATGTATATATATATAAACTCACTGTATTGAACACAATAACCGCACTAAAGTTATTATCATATTATTGTTTACCACTGTTGTTTACAATAAACATGCACAAATCTTGTATAATACTAATGTTCTATCATATATTTACATATTTACAATCACTGGACATGGTTTTAGAACTGCTGGAGCTTGTGGAACTCCTTGAAACAAGGCACCATGCACAGAGGCACCTTACATTCCTCACACGTAAACCGAGTGTCTTTGCGTCTTTGTTGCCGTCTTTTTGTTTGTGCACAGACAATGCATCTCTTCTGAGCAAATTTCTTCTGAGTTGAAGGGAAGTTGTATTATGAAATGATCACCTTCCCTCCTCAAACGCTTGGGTATATCCTGAGGAATTCGAGGACCGTGTTGTATAGCAGGTGTTGTTACCTGGTACTTCATTATGAGTTGTCTGACAACAGAAAAAACAAAATTCACCATACGGTGGTCTGTTGCCAGTCTTTATTTGGTACATATTATATGCATTGAGCATTGAAATGTCCATGAGATGGAAGAAAAGTTTCATGTACCACTTGTAACTCTTACGAACACAGTCAACAAAAACCAATCTGCATGTCACATTTGTCAACCAAGCGCATGTTTTGTGTATAATCAATCACTGTCACTGGTTTTCGAATACGTTCATTAGTCACTCGATCACTTTGCCACTGTCTTGCATTTCATTACGGTGAATGGTTGTCAACAATGTGACATCTCGTTTGTCATGCCACCGTAATGCCATGATGTCATTGGCAGTAAACACCTGCACGTCATCACCACGAGCACCTGCGTTGAGCCTGGGCATATGTTTACGATTAGAACGCACTGTGCCACACACATCTGTCTTGTTCACTCGCATGAAATCACTGAGTAATGGGCTTGTGTACCAGTTATCGGTATATAATGTATGCCCCTTACCAAGATAAGGTGCCATCATGTTTCTCACTACGTCACCTGAGATACCCAATAACATCTTGGTATCTTTCAATGTTTTACTACCGTGTATACAAACAATATCCAACACCAGGCCACTGTCACAATCACAGAGTACAAACAGTTTTATACCAAAGCGTTTCCTCTTGCTCGGTATATACTGCTTGAATGACAGTCTACCTTTGAACAAAATCAAAGACTCGTCAATTACAAGATTCTTAAAATGGATAAAAGTATACGCTGAACTTTTGTTGAGATACATGAAACATTTCTAATCTTGTATAACCTGTCACTTCTGTCAGGCCTGGTTTTGTCAGAGAAGTGCAACATACGTATAAGATAAGATAAACCTGTTCACTGGTATGATTTCACTGAAGCCCGGGGGTTTAGAAAATTAGCCGATCTCTGGACCAGTATGATTTTAAAATTATGCTTATAGACGTGAGGCTAAGCATTATTGTTGCAAAAAAGCAAATACATTTCTGCAACAGTCGTCTCTTTCCACCTGTGTAGTCTTGACTGTGGTGATAAGATCGTATTTGCCATGGTGTACTCAAAATACTTATTACTTTCCCTGACAATAATTTCCATCAATGGCTGGTCAAAGAATAATTCAAAGAATTCCAGTTCATTGGCCATGGTTCCAAGGGAACAAGTAGGTAGAATTCCACTTTGAGAATCATCAAAGTGGTGAGGCTTGGGAACAAAATTGGGATTTTGCTGCCAATCCCCACATACGGTTTGCTGGTGGATACGGGGACATCATAGGCTGGTTGTGCGGGTGGTGGTGGTTGTGGTGGGCTGGTGGCTGGCGCTCCGCTTTGTCCTTGAACTGACGAGTCAGCAGCTTGGGTCCCAGCGTGGCCTGGTGAGTCACGCATGGCGGTGCCACTACCATCACCACTAACACCATCCACTGATGCCTGTGGTCTATCCATGCCAAGTGTATCCACATCATCCTCACTATCACTACCTAAAACTGGTGTTGGGCCATGGGATGTACTCCGGGATGTACTCCGTCCCCTGGGCACAGCATAGGGTACACTACCCGAGCGCATGCGGCGGCGAACATACCGACGCTTCACTGGTGAATATGATTCCTCACTATCACTACTCGATTGATCGTCGAGCGCAATAAAATCACAGTCCACGTCACTATCATCATCATTACTGAAGTCAGAGGCCTGGCCACGCGAAAATATTAGTTTTCTCTTGCGATGAGGAACAACCGACCGTGAGTCACGAGTGCCCACACCAGAGGTAGAAGGTTGAGGATCGTCAGGGTTTTCTGCACTATTATCGATATCCTGGTCATTCTTTTCGGTCACTAACTGATCAGAGCCGTAGAATTCGTCTTCATTTCCACTTCCATCAGTGTCAGAACTATCAGATAGGAAGAGGAGAGTCCCAATTTTCCGGGGAGTGAGAGCTGACTTGCGACGAGGCATGGTGAACAAGGGTAACTGAGCCGGCGTTCCCACAATGCTATGCGGGCGCCTAGATTTTTTGTTTATGGCGCACACCCACCACGCAGACCCGTTCTCTCACATGTAGGCCTATGAGCGTTTTCGCGCTAAATTTGACGGCGCTAGAATTTTGGCGTAGATCTATGGTTTGGACACTCAACGTAAAGCCGTTGATCTATGGGACGGACCCTGAAAGGGTTAAACCTGTAGTTACTCAGCAAAACTCAGCTCTCGGAATAATTACTCAGTCAGGCTCCAGGCAGTACACACTGCCTTTATTCAAAAAGTTTAAATTTTCTAACGTACTTTCTATTGTGCATACTATGTCGATGGGACACTTACTTCAAACATTAACTCAAAGCTTAAATTTTATTTGGAGAGCTGCAGCAGAACATATGGGAACAGCTCACAAACAGATATCTTGCTAGGCATTCTCCATGTATGACTCGACCTGTTCAAAAACTCCATGCAGATAAAAGGCCCAAAAATTTGAAACTCTGTTCCTGAAAATGCCAAAAGTTTCCTATCTACCAACATCTTTACTAATATTGTTAAAAAGCATTTATTACATCTCGCATAAATGTTATACCTATTACTTGTCTGCAGATGCTCCTGCTTTGATTTCACCACCTCAGTTAAACCAGTCCATAATATGCAGAGCATTAAACTTCTGCAGTGTTAATACAGTTTATTTGTAACTGACCAATTCTTTATTTGCAACCTGTTTCATTGTACTTATGATTGTAATGAGTTACCGAAACTATACTGATGTAAATTACATTCTAAGTCTAAATACTATAAGTACAGTGGACCCCCGGTTTGCGATGGCATCGGTATCCGATAAATCCGGTATTCGATACATTTTAACGCAAAATTTTGCCTCGGTTCTCATTAAAAAACCCGGTATACGCAATTCGTCCGAGGCGTGTCCACGTGTGGCTTGAACTGCCCCGTGTGTGCCAGTGGTTACAAGCCAGCCAGTGTGCTCGCATCTAAGGATACATTCGGTACATTCCATATTATCACAGTGTTTTTGGTGCTTATTTCTGCAAAATAAGTCACCATGGGCCCCAAGAAAGCTTCTAGTGCCAACCCTTCGAGAAAAAGGGTGCTAATGACTATTGAAATGAAGAAAGAGATAATTGCAAAGTACGAAAGTGGAGTGCATGTGTCGGAGCTGGCCAGGTTATATACAAAAACCCCAATCAACCATCGCTACTATAATGACCAGGAAAACGGCAATCAACGAAGCTGTTGTTGCAAAAGGTGCAACTGTGAATACGAAACAGCGACCGCAAGTGTTAGAAGATGTTGAGAGACTGTTATTGGTGTGGATAAATGAAAAACAGATAGCAGGAGATAGCATCTCTCAAGCGAGATGGAAAAGGACTTGCTACCTCAAGTCCTAATGGAAGGGAATTCCCCTTCTAAACAATAGTTCGATACTCTCCCCTCCTCCCATCCCATCAGTCATCACCAGATCTTCATTAAAGGTAAGTGTCATGTATTCTATTGTTAGTAGAGTACTACAAACTGTGCATGTCTTCTTCATTTTGTGTGCATTAAACTTAATAATTCATGTGGTAAAACTTTTTTTTCATACTTTTGGGTGTCTTGCACGGATTAATTTGATTTCCATTATTTCTTATGGGGAAAATTGATTCACTTTTCGATAATTTTGGTCTACGATGAGCTCTCAGGAACGGATTAATATCGCAAACCTGGGGTCCACTGTACTGTAATATGTAAGCCTTATGATTAGTTTACCTGAAATGCATTTGCATAATTAATTGATTTCTTTTGAGTCTTATATTGTATCAAATTATATGTCTTATAATAAGATCAAATTCATTATAACTGATGGAACTAATTTGCATAGCTCATAAGAAATAAATTGTTTTAATTTTAATTTAATTTCAGAATTCTCTGCTGCTTCTCCGCTCATATGCCGTATTCTATTCAAGATTGATGGACTGAACACATCGACTCAAGGTTGAGGGACTGATTACCTCATTCTCCTCCTGTTCTTCAAGTTTCTCCTACGTATGGACTGATGAAGCCACTGTGTGGCGAAACGTTTCCTCAATAAAGATACCCAAGAGTTGCACATGTGTCTAATTTATCAACATGTCGGTTCTCTGAACCATTCATCTACAAACCTGTCAGACACTGCAACTTCTTGGGATCTTAATACTTAGGAATTCTTCGCTTGCCTAATTCTTGGGCACGACCTACTTCCACATTGAACAAATGCGACACCACCTATGACTGCTGCACCTCTCCTGCCATACAGTTTATAAGCTGCTTCTCCGCTTATATGCCGTATTCTATTCAAGATTGATGGACTGAACACATCGACTCAAGGTTGAGGGACTGATTACCTCATTCTCCTCCTGTTCTTCAAGTTTCTCCTACGTATGGACTGATGAAGCCACTGTGTGGCGAAATGTTTCCTCAATAAAGATACCCAAGAGTTGCACATGTGTCTAATTTATCAACATGTTGGTTCTCTGAACCATTCATCTACAAAGTAATTACTGTATACTGCTTGATGGCTAACGTTTGTGTCTTTTTACCTCAGGATGACTTTTCTGTGGACAACTTTGTTCGGGTTCATCAAGCAGCTGGCAGTGGAGGCCTTGAGAGCTTGCGTGATGATCTGGGAGTTTACCTCAAGATACTGCGAAATGCAATGATTGAACTCATCAACCGTGACTATGCTGATTTTGTCAACCTGTCTACTAATCTTACAGGACTAGACAGACTAATTGAAGCCCTAAAGACACCACTTGGGCAACTCAGGGAAGAGGTTCTGGTAAGACCATTTTTAAAAATGGTATTCTTAGGTATTTAAATAAGTTGATAACAAAGTAGAGGAATGCATTTTAATTATAATTGTTCCTTTCATTTCCTGTATGACAAAATTTGTTTACTAAGATTAATATTATACAGTTGCACATATAAATTGTTTGCATTCTTATTTTACACACAGCGTAGACATACACTGGTGATGGCAACAAAGGATGATTTAACACACAAAATCCCAATACAAAATAGAATTTATTTCCATTGAGGTCCCTAATTTCCTCATCTCATTTAGGTACATATGTGTACGGTACTTAATGTATACAAGTAAGTGTACCCTCAATTAACCCTTTCATTGTTTCATCCATAGATCTATGTAGTTGACGCCTGGGTCACTTGTGTAGATCTGCTTTTTGAGCTCAGCTCCATCAGAGAAGCTGTGTGGTAAATTTTTGCCTAGACATGAGAGAAAAGGTCAGTCCAGTGTGTGTGTATGGTATAAAAAAATTCTGCCCCATGCTGTACATAATGGGAAGAGCAAAACTCAAACCTTGTGTTTGGTTTACAGTAGCAGCATTGAGGTGTTTTCAAGGATGTTTTTTATGGTTTTATTGGTTGTTTCTTGTTATCAATTGATAGAATGAAAGATGTACTACTGAAATAAAGATAATTTTGCTTTATTCCAGGAACAGAAGCAGTTTGATATCATCCTCAAAAGAGCAGAAATATTTGATTTTCTCAGATTTTCCTGAGGATAGGTTAGGCCCTCCTTACATCCCTAGTGTGCTTAATGAGTTTATACTAGCCCAGATTCAATTACTGGGATGCCAATAACCTTGAACAGTCATTCCTCATTATATTTTATTTAACAGAGAAATAGGGTAACTTGATTTTTGTGATTATGAATTCAAAATAAAAGGCAAATGTAATATAGGAGAGGCCTAGGAATATGATTAATGAATAGAGGAAATGTTTTAGTGGCTGGAATCTCTACAGTGTTTATTATGGACTCTTATTTTTAAATTGGATTTTTTAATTATGCATAAAATTGGCTAAATTACTGTCTTCTATGCAATATAGGGTAATTTTGATAATTGAATGGGTGGTTTTTAGTGTTCATTCGATACATCAGAAGGCATTGTACTGAAAGTACATACAATGTGGTCAAATTAAGCAGTTGAATTGTCTTAAAATAGGACTCCAAGTGGCGAAATCGCTGAGGCATAAATTGCACCCAGATTGCTATATTTGCGCCTAAATTCTTCCGTAATTTTTCCATCTGATTTTGTATTTTTCGTGCCATTTTTTTTTTTTTTCAGAAAAAGATTCTCTACCATTTCAGAAGAAAAAAAATAATCTTAAAAAATGTGGACACTGTGAGCACTTTTAATTTCAGAGGAGCTGGACAGTGAAAGGGTTAATTTTGCAGTGAAGAGGTTAATGGACTATTAGGGGAAAGGAGGGTGTCCAATAAACCCAATTGTCCATTAAATCCGAATTATGAGTATTTTTCCTTAAGCATAACAGTAAAAGACATTTCTGGATTTAACGGACTTTGTCCTGTAAATCTGAAATTAATTTACCCAATAAACCATAAGAAAAACATTTAAATTGAGAGTTATTAAATTGAAGTTTTGGAGGTAATTTTGTTGTTGAAGTGTTTTAAGTTAAATGTTAGAGTACAGTAGGTTAAGTTATGTATGTGAAGAAATAAGAAATTTTAATTTTATTAATCCATGAATGGCATCTGTTTTTTTTCTTGCTGAAGTTATTTTGGTATTTTTCCTAAGTAGAGTAAATTTTGTGTTGAGCAATTTACATACAATATAAAAATCTTATAACAAATGGAGCCATGGGTTATAAAGCACCACATCTGCTAAAGCAAGGTAAGTGCAGGTACTGTACATACATTTTTTTTTTCTTTTTTAACAAGTCGGCCGTCTCCCACCGAGGCAGGGTGACCCAAAAAGAAAGAAAATCCCCCCCCAAAAAAATACTTTCATCATCATTCAACACATTCACCTCACTCATACATAATCACTGTTTTTGCAGAGGTGCCCAGAATACAACAGTTCAGAAGCATATCGTATAAAGATATGCAACATATCCCTCCAAACTGCCAATATCCTAGACCCCTCCTTTATAGTGCAGGCATTGTACTTCCCATCTCCAGGACTCAATTCTGGTGCAGTGGAACCTCAAATTTTGAACGTATCACTTATCGAACTCTGCGAAAATCGAATGCTTCTTTTAAACCAACTTTGTCCCTATCATCAAACTCGCCCCTATTTTCAAACCGCTGGGTACCGGACCTGTCCGGCAGCCCGCTCTGTCAGTGTCCCAGTGCAGGTGCCATCAGCCAGTCTGGTTTTGTTGATGCTTGAGTGAACACTTACCTGTGCTCTCATTCAAACATTTTATGATTATTTCATTGTGTTTAGTGCTTGTGAGACTGAGAAATAAGCTACCATGTGCCCAAAGAAACTTGCTAGTGGTACCCCTGCAGTAAAGAAAGTGAGAAACACCATAGATGTGAAGAAGGAAATAATACAGAAGTATGAGAGTAGTGTGAGACTTGTTGAGCTTGCCAGGATGTATGGGAAAAACAAGTCGACCATCGGTTCTCTCCCGGCGAAGAAAGAACAAATCAGGAAGCTGATGTTGCGAAAAGCGTTAATATGCTAACCAAAAAAAGGCCACAGACAATCGATCAGGCTGAGAAGTTGTTGCTGGTGTGGATCAAGGATAAAGAGATGGCAGGTGATAGTGTTTCATAGACCATTATTTGCGGAAAGGCAAGGAAGTTGCATACCGATCTGGTACAGAAAACTCCTGGAGCCAGTGCTGATGGTGAATTTAAGGTCAGCAGAGGCTGGTTTGACAGATTTAAGAAGCATAGTGTCATACACAATGTTGTAAGGCATGGTGAGGCAGCCAGTTCAGACAAATGGGTGGCTGAAAAGTTTGTACAGGAGTTTAAGGTTTACGTAGACACTGAAAAATTAAAACCCCAATAAGTGTTCAGTTGTGACAAAACAGGCCTGTTTTGGAAGAAAATGCCAAAGAGGACCTACATTACTCAGGAGGAAAAGGCATTCCCAGGACACAAGCCTATGAAAGACAGGCTAACTCTTATTCTGTGCTAATGCTAGTGGTGATTTTAAAGTGAAGCCTTTACTTGTATATCATTCAGAAAATCCCAGAGTGTTTAAGAAAAACAATGTCATAAAGAACAAGTTATGTGTCTTGTGGAAAGCAAATAATAAGGCATGGGTCACAAGGCAAATTTTCAAAGAGTGGGCCCATGAAGTATTTGGCCCCAGTGTGAGAAAATACCTCATAGACAATAATTTGCCACTCAAGTGCCTCCTGTTAATGGACAATGCTCCTGCTCATCCTCCAAACTTATTAGACCAGAGTGGGTTTTTTCCATCTAGTGACACTAATATTCTCTTGGATTTTACCCTCTACAATGTCAGTAAGTACTGATTGTTGTTTAGTGCATACATGAATAGTTTAGGCATATTTTGATATGTACATAAAGTCCGTGTGAAGCATAATGTGAGTGTAGCATGCAGTTGTAAAAAGTGCAACATAAAAAGGGCGAGTATACTCGCCTCTGCCCTTTTTGTTACATAGTCCAGTTTCAGTAAAATAAATATTTATAAAAAATTTGTATTGCACATATGAATTCTGTAGTGGTCTGGATGTATACAGAATATTTTTATTGTTCTTCCAGATCAATGAGAAATTGTTTTATGGGGAGCCATCCAACACCAGGTCAAAATATGTCTGCATTTTGAAGGACAGTGACTCAGAATCGGAGGTAGATGACCCAGAATTGCTTAATAATGGTGATGAGTACTTTCCACCAGATGCAGAGGTATCAAGTGATGAGGAGGAAGAAAGGCCAGCCAAAAAGCAGAAATTAGTCAAGAAAAAGAAAGGTATTATGATCGAGGAGTACCCTGATGAGGAACATATTTATGACGGGCTTGCTCTTCAAGGTGAACCTCAGTGGTCCCAGGTTGACCTCCAAAATGACCCTTTGCCAGTATATGAATATGAAAAGCCTCTTGAAATTAGGTCTCCATATGAGTATTTTTGTGATTTCTTTACTTCAGACATGGTAGATAACATAGCATATCAAACAAATTTGTATACCAAACAAAAAAGCATAATTAATAATTTTGCAACAGATTCTGAAGAGATCATGAGGTTCATAGGTGTTTTGTTGTTGATGGGTATTGCTCCATTACCAGCAATCAAAGACTATTGGACAAGTACATTTAGGATGCTCCAGGTTGCAGAAGTCATGGGGTCTAAGAGGTTTAGGTTACTTAGACGTACTATTCATTTCAATGACAACACACAAAAGGATAATGACAGATTCCACAAAATAAGGCCTCTTTACACTGCACTAACTAATGCTTGCTTGAAAGTTCCAGCTACACCTAAGCAATCTATTGATGAAGTCATGGTTGCTTTCCAGGGTAAAAACCACTGGAAACCTAAGGCAGTACATTAAAACCAAACCAGACAAGTGGGGTTTCAAACTTTTTTTTCGTGCAAGTGAAGATGGAATTATACATGATATACTCATGTATCAAGGCACTCCAACTTTTGACAGCCATCCCATAAAGCTTCCACAGGAAGACACTAAACTACCAATAAGTTCAAAGATTGTTCTGGTACTTGCAACAACTCTGAACAAGACCAACACATCAGCAATCTATGCTGACAATTTCTTTTCAAGTCTACCTCTGGTCAAGGTACTAAGTGATAATTATAACTGCAGATACACTGGAACAGTACATGAAAATAGATGTGGTAAGCCAGATCTGATTCCTGCCAAACAAATGGAAAAGAACAATATGGACAGGGTCAATTTTAGCTTCAAAACCAATGATGGTGTCCTTGTTGTAAGATGGAAAGACAACAGAGTTGTGACTTTAGTGACAAGTGATGTAAGGGTCAGTCCTGTGAGTCTTGTTGAAAGATATAACAAGGCTACAAAGATCAAAACCCAGTTACAGTGCCCTGCAGTCATCAATAACTATAATGCACACATCTGTACACATCTGCACACATCTGCATGCATCTGTACAAAACACCAATGAAATCTAAACGTTGGTACATGCAGCTATTTGCCTATGTTCTTAATCTTTCAGTTGTGAATGCATGGCTTCTTTACTGCCGTGACTGTCGGTCACTAAACACCAAGTGCATGCAACTGAAGTTTTTCAGGAATGAAATCTCTGTCATTGCAAGGTCTAATGGACAAAAGTTTAGATGCAGCAGCCTAAGAACATCTACAAGAGCTTCACCAAGTACTTCCAATGGTGACAGCAATCATTTGCCAAACCTGCAATTGCCATTTGGTCTGCTGTACCAACGTACAGAAAGGCCTGATGATAGTGTGAGGCTTGACAAAGCTCTAAATCACTGGCCAGTGCTAGGCAAGCTGCTTAGTTGCAAGTATTGCAGCACCTCGAAAAAATTTGTCACATCCTCATTCCACTGTTCTGTATGCAAAGTAAATCTGTGCATAAAGAAGGATAAAAATTGCTTCACAGACTTCCCTTCTTGCAATTAGTAATATAGAATGATTGCTCTTCCTCATGAATCTCAGCAATATGGGACTTGAAAGTTTTATCCCTTTGCAATGTGTCCATGTTGCTATTTGTTTCATTTTTATATTTTTCTAATACTTACAAAATGTTTTGATACAAGTTCCATTTAAGTTTTTGATATTGTCTGTTTGTATAATAAATTTAAAAAATAGTTATTGGGTGTTTTATTAACAATTGCAAGTTTGCAACATTCAGATATATACTCCCTATTTCGGGCAGGGGCGAGTACAGTCTGTCTTCGCAGATTAGCAATTGCTCGAAAACTAACCATCAGAATTCCATTCATATGGCCTCATTCAACTTATATTGAGATACTCTATCCACTCTAGGGGGTTCAGTTTGAAATTCTAATATATCATAAATTGCCCTCAGAAGGGTTAAGGACCCCAATGGAAATAAGTTAGACAGTCCTCGATGACTCACTGACTTTCTTTGGTTATCCTGGGTGGCTAACCCTCTGGGGTTAATTATTTCTCAGTAATTGTTTCTTGTTAAGCCACACCAACAGCAGTCTCTCCACATCTTCGAGTGGTACAGCTGACCGTGGTACTATAATATTTCGATAGTATTTCTCACCCTTTTTACCACAGGGTTGGCACTAGAAGCTTTCTTTGGGCCCTTGGTGGCTTATTTAGCAGTTACAAGCACTATAAACAAATGTATCGAATGTATGCATGAAACCGGCCACCCTGGCTTGTAGACAATGACAGCAGGGCAGCTGAGGCGCTCAGGCTGGACGGACAGGTTTGGGACAAATCACGTTGGGCGAGTTTTTTATAATAATAATAATAATAAGTATTTCTTTGTAAAGGTTACAATGTGTAATTACAATTTTGATTTGCTAAGTACTTTTACGTCTCTGGTTTCGACTGGTCTCCATTTTTGGAAGGCCCTCCAAGGGTTCCAGGGCTCTAATGAGAACACATGACCCATCACCTATTAACCCTTTCAGGGTCCGTCCCGTAGATCTTCGGCTTTGCGTTCAGTGTCCAAACCGTAGATCTACGTCATGAGCTCAGCTCACTCTGATAAACTGTGAGTGATACACTTGGGCCTAGATATGAGAGAATACATCTATGTGGTATGTGTGCACCACATAAAACAAATCCTGCAGCACACTGTGTATAATGAGAGAAAAAAAAATGAAACCAAGATTTTCGATTAAAACAGCAACTTTGCAGTGTTTTTTCGTATGTTTTTTATAGTTGTATTTGCAATTTCTTGGTCTCATTTGATAGAATGGAAGACATATTACAGAAATAGAGATGATTTTGATTGGTTTTTAGCACGGAAATGGCTTGAAACTGAGCTCAAAGTAGCGGAAATGTTAAATTTTTGTCGATGTTCAAGAGTAAACAAACGACCTCACACGTCTAATACAAAGCCAGCTGGTGGATCTAATACACATTCACAAATGTGGTGAAAGATATTTATACAATTATTACAATATTGCATAACAGTTAATCTTCTATTTTTTGGTGTGAATAAAAATTCATTATGTAAATAAAAAATAAAATGGGATTTATTTGTAAAGCCTCAAAACGTAACTAATGAACCGAGGAAATGTTAGTTTAGTGCCAGGAATGCCTACATTGTTTATTCTGGATGCTATTTTGAAATTGGAATATTTTGAACTTTGTGTTAAATTGGCCAAATTACCAATTTCCGATCACTTTATTTTGTAGTTGAAACAGTTGACTTGGCGATTTCTTGTGCTCAATCGATAGAATAGAAGTAATACTAGTAAAATAGCTAAGAATTTGGTCGACTGGAATGATGTAATTGGCCTAAAATGGAAGTCAAAGTCGGCAAAATCGCCGATTCGTAAATATCGCTGACACATCAAAATTCGCGAGAGCATAATTTCGTCAATTTTCCATCAAATTTCGTACTTTTTGTTTTATTACCTTCGCAAAAGATTCTCTACCATTTCATAAGAAAAAATAACAAATTTTTTTTTGGAAAATTCTTGGACACTGGGGCACCACTTCAGATTTGGGCCTTGGACCCTGAAGGGGTTAAGGAAAATCAAATGTTAAATTTGCAATTTGCAATTTGGGTGACAATACAATGAGCGTTAATAGGAAAAGGATTATGGAGTCAAGATCCAACACTGAAAATGAGTTGATCAGATCCAGTGGACATTTTGATGTTTTCCCACTATTGCTAATATGGAAACATCAATACCTTATCTTTCCTCTAATTATCGATTAAACTTTATTAATAAATACAAAAATCTTTAAGATTAAAAACACAATACCTTAATTACAATAAACTAAAGAAAATGGTAATTATTTTCAAGGATTAGCCTAAAAATAGAATCATCTTGAAGTAACCAGAGGGTAAATCAATTTACTTTGGCACATCTTTCTCAAAACATACTTTGTTCAAGGTATTGTTAGTATAGGCTACCACAAACAACAGGATCTAGGAATTAATAAATAACTGTCACCATATACAGTGGAACGTCAAGAATCGAACTGCTCCCAACACAACCAATTATGTAAATGTATTTTTGTAAGTGCTTTTATAAGTGTATTTTTGAGGGTCTGAAATGGACTAATGTAATTTCCATTATTCCTGATGGGAATAAATTCATTCGGTAAAGGCACTCGAACAGCCTTCTGGACCGAAGAAAGTTCGATATTTGAGGTTCCACTGTATAAATGAAATTGTGGGAAATCCACACACTACCCTGGTTAACTATAAAACTATAAAACGGTGGGAGACGGCCAACTTGTTGAAAAAAAAAAAAAATAATAAGTTTATTTCTTTGTAAAGGTTACAATGTGTAATTACAATTTTGATTTGCTAAGTACAAAGATAGCCACTATCATGCTGAGGCATTTAGGGCAAACTAATCCTAATACATAGTAACTAATTAAAACTAGATAAGATAATATTACATAGTAATTATTACTTAAAACTAAACATAGAATAGTGGTTAGTTGTTTTACAATCTTGTTTGGACTTAATCTTATGTATACTTAATCTTATGTATACTTAATCTTATGTATACTTTGTACAAATTCTAATTTACAAGGAATGGTGCAGGTGGTAATATTTTATGGAATGGCAGAATTAAAAGCCAGGAGGTCACATGATAAAATTAGCCAGTAGATGTTTGGTTGATTTGGTTAATATTGTGCAATAAGATGATTTTTTAGCAGAGTCCTAAATTTATAAGTTGTCTGGGGATCCTTGACTTGTTTCAGTAGTGAGTTCCAGATCTTTGGGCCTTTTATGTGTATAGCGTTCTTGCATAGTGAGAGTTTTACTTGAGGGATGTTGAAAAGGGCCTTATGCCTTGTATTGTGACTGTGCATTCTGTTGTAACTGTTGAGGAGTAGTTTTAGGGGGGGGGGGTTACAGTGGAGTTCAAAGTTCTGTATATGTAGTACGTACAATAATAAGAGTGTATGTCTTGTATATTTAGCACGTTGAGTCTTTTGAAAAGTAGTGGGGTGTGCTGTCTAGCACAGGAGCTGGTTATCACCCACACAGCAGCTTTTTGTTGGATTATTAAAGGTCTGAGGTGGTTGGCTGTGGTAGAGCCCCAGGCACAGATACCATAGGTGAGGTAAGGATATATTAGAGAGTGGTACAAGGTAAGGATAGTCGTTTGTGGTACATAATAGCGTATCTTGGATAGGATTCCTACTGATTTGGAAATTTTCTTGGCTATGTGATGGGTATGGGATTGAAATTTAAGATTACAGTCAAGGAGAAGCCCTAGAAATTTGCCCTCTGTGCGTCTTGATATAGGGGAACCATTTAACGGTATGTTGAGTTGAATATTTGAGGCTCTGTTGCCAAACAGCATGAAGTAAGTTTTTTCTATGTTAAGTGTGAGTTTGTTAGTCATCATCCAAGCATATATCTTTAGCAGTTCATTGTTTACAGTGTTTTCAAGCACAGCTGGGTCTGAATGGGAGTAGACATATAGTGTCATCTGCGAATAGAACTGGTGTAAGGAGTTGGGATGCATTGGGGAGATCATTGATGTATATGAGAAAGAGGAGTGGGCCTAGGACACTACCCTGGGGTACTCCTACAGCTACAGGTTGGATAGTGGAGTTGACTCCATTTGCATGTACATACTGGTGTCTGTCGTTAAGATAGGATTTTAGGTAGTCTAGAGAATGTCCTCTTATGCCATAATGATTCAGTTTGAGGTACAAGAGATTGTGGTCAACTGTGTCAAATGCTTTTCTTAGGTCTACAAAGAGCCCCAGGGGATATTCATTCTTATTGAGAGCTATGTATATTAGGTCAAGCATTTGTACAATAGCATCATTCGTGCTTTTTTTTGGTCTAAATCCAAACTGGCATGGGTTAAGTATGTTCTTGGATGTAAGGTTGGAGTAAAGTCACTTGTGTATTATTTTTTCAAATATCTTGGACAGTAAGGGCAAGTTTGATATGAGTCTGTAATTGTTTAAATCAGTTGGATCTCCACCTTTGTGGATCGGGGTGACCCTTGCTGTCTTGAGTATGGATGGGAAGGTTGAGAAAGCTATAGATTTGTTAAACATTGTTGCAATAATGGGCCACAGTTCTGGTGCAGCTTTTTTATATATGAATGGTGGCAAGTTACCTAGATCACCTGATTTGTTTTTTAATGATTTAATGATGAGTGAGACTTCAGTGGGATTAGTTGGAACTAGGAATAGAGTGTTTGGATAGTTGCCAGTGAGGTACTCGCTCGGATGGGTATTTGAGCTAGGAATTTGGCTAGCCAGCTTTGATCCTATGGTAGAGAAGAAGACATTAAAATTAAATTTGTCAACCGTGTCTAAAGGTTGCATGTGAGGTTCATCTGGTTTAGTTAAGTCTATCTCTCTATTTCCAGTCGGTTTTCTTGAGCCCAAAATTTTGGAGAGTGTTTGCCAGGTACTTTTCATGTCACCTTTCATTTCACTAAATCTATTTTCATAATACATTTGCTTTGATTTACATATTAGTTTTGTTAGTACTGATGTGTATCTTTTAGTAAATTCTTTAGTAATTAAGCCTAATCTGAACTGCTTTTCAATTTGGTGTTTTTTATTAATAGATTTGAGGATACTTCTAGTTAGCCATGGGCTGTTTAGCCTCTTTTCTGTGATCTGTTTCATTTTGACTGGGCAATGTTTGTTGTAGAGTTTAGGGTTTT